ATAATTGGATTAAATCAATCTACTATGGACCAATTATTTTTCAGTAATATGTGCAGTGGGATCCTACTTTTATTTATGGATAAATACGAAAAACATACTTAGGTGCAAACTACAGGCAAAACTTTCCATCAGAACTTTTAACCAGTGGCTAGCAATCTAATTTGGCCTAATTTAATTATTTTGCAAGTTTGTACATTTTAAGGCTTCAGTGTCGTAGTTTGAAAGACATGAAAGGAAAACCTTTTTCAGGGCAGTGTAGTGAGCCCCACCTCGGAATCCAGGGTGCTCTGGATACACAGGCTAAGGGCACCTATGGCACTCAGCACCCAGGATGTGAGAGACCCACTCCGGTCTTGGGCTGCAGTGCTGAAGGCAGGGGTTTCTGTGGCAGAAAATAAATCAGCTGTCCTCACAGGTGCGGGCTAGCAACCTATGATGAGGTGGTCCCACCAGAACATTAGAGATGCGGGACTTCCTAGCAGTCAGCCTCAACTGACAGGTAAGGAAACCGAAGCCAGAAGAGTTCATTGACTCAAGGTCACTAATTCCCAGCTCTTGTTGATAAAATCGGGGTGCTGCTCACATACTTCATACGGCTGTTGCACTACACGACACGCATGTGCACAAGGGCACACGTGCATGCACACACAATGTCACGGGGACACAGCACATCCGTCATCACATCATTCAAAGGAACAGCAACTGATCAAATATCTACAGAGCAAACATTCTAGTCAACATTTCTATTTTTACGGCTTGACAGGAAGCGCTATCCCTACAGGACACACACACACACACACACACACCCTCCTTAGCAACAGGGACCTGTGGCCAACACAGCCTAGAATCCTGAGTGACTGCCAGCAGTGACTTCTCATTTAGCTACACTACTTTCGATTTTGGGCTTATCTGGAGGTACTCTGACCAGAAGGTTATATTCGACACTGCATCAAAAAATCTATGAATTAAAAAAATCTCAGAGTGAAGAAACTGTTGACCCTACAAAAAACTTTGGAAGGGTTCACTTAGAAATGATGTACTTCTGGTAGTAAGTAAGATGCTTTGGTTCGTCTAGTTTCAGAAAGTGCAGTCCAGAGGAACACTACAAGTGGGCCAGCCAGGCGCAGTGCTGAATGCCTAATCGTTGCTACTGGGGAGGTTAAGGCAGGAGGACTGCAAGTTCGAGGCCAGCCTCAAACTTACTGGGACCCAACTTACTCGGATCCTGTCTCAAAACCAAAAGGGCAGCTTGGGACAACTCAGTGTTCCTTGGATTCAGTCTCCAATAACATGAGGGGAAATGATTAAGGGCTTGGCCTGTTGGTTTTAACAGCACATTGTTTTGTTTAACCAATTACAGGCTGCACTTTCATTTTATAGACAGCCTAGCAATTCGAATCTAACCTCAAAAACGAATCAGGCTGTCCACACAGACAACCACTACGGTTCAGCTGGGATGCAGAGTCGGCGACACGAGCACCACAGCCCAGTCCTGGGCTCAGCACCGGACCGATGCCATCAGCCACTCGCTCCACTTCCTGTCTTCGGAAGCAGACTGGACCAGCTGTGACCGAGAGCATCTGGTGCCCAAAACTGCAGTCACACCACGATAGGCTGTGCAGAGAACACGCCCAGGAAGAAGCCCACCGGAAGGTGATGAGGTGACAGCCACTGAGGCAGGGAGGCTGTGCCAGGAAAGGGCAGGCGCAGAATCCCTTTAGCTCCTTTTCTGTTTGTTATTACTGCTTATGTCTGTGATAGCTTTTTAGTGGTAGGGCCTGTAGGCTAAGCGGAATCCCTAATGTCTGGCCCATATCCCCTCCACCCCTCTGCATTCCCAGCTACTGTGCCCTGTCCTCAAGGGCGGTAAGGACTCCACAGCAGGGCACTAACTCCAGCCTGGTTGCAGCACTGGGCTGCCGGAGAACTGTGTGGAACTAACACATCCTGTGGGGATTGCAGGGTAATTTAATCAGCAGCACTTCAGCACAGCAGAACTCGAGGGCAGGGAAATAATGAAGTCAGCACTCAGTACTGCGAGCTCTGTTCAGCCTAAGGGGCAGACGTGACCTACAGCCGGCTTCCGGCTTCCACCTTGGCACTGTGAACTCTGCAGCGGACCCCGCAGCACTGAGGCAGGGGCTGTCCTGGGCAGCATCCCCGGCCTCGCTCCCCTAGTTGCTGCTGGTACCTCCCCCACTCCAGTTGTTACAAAAATGTCTCCAGACACAGCCAAACACCCCCCTGGGGGGGAGCAGAACTGCCCCTGGATGAGAACCATTGCCCTAGATCCACCGGAATCTAGGATTTTGTGATTAAGTGAGGTACTCAAGAGTTACAAGAGAGAAGGGAATTAAGGCTTCTTGCATTTAAAAATGCGCATGAGTAATTAGGAAGAAAAGACAAAAAAATGGTCAAGTGACAGAGGTGATGAACCATATGTGAATGATCAATGGCCCATCAAAGCATGGAGTGTAGATCATCTCACTAAAAACTGAATAAATACAAATTAACGGCACTTGTACGTGTACTATTTAGCTTCTAGACATAGAGATACAGAAAACAAACCCTCTTTTACAAGCCAGAACTCATTGTTCAGTATGTTTTGATATATATAAAAAGGAATGTGATGATTTTTTTAAAAAAATACAATATAAAGTAACATAAAGGCAAAGTACAATACTGAAATACATTAGCCAAGAGTGAAATCTGGTAACACGGGGTTATCAGGGGTTAGGACAAAACACTCCAATACATACTAGGTAGTGTAAACTGGTGAGCATAATTTGGATACACACAGACATATATATAAAAGCATATTGATGCATTATTCCCTAGTAGTAAAAGCAACAACCAACCCTGTCAGCAGGGAATTAGAAACAGTATTGCATAGCAACGAAAATGACACTGTGTGGCCCATGAAACTATGGAGGTCTGCATGTAACACACAAGGACTGTTTTCAAGAGGAGAAAGTGACTAGAACAAGTCACTAAGAGGGCTGGGGCTTTAGCTCAGTGGTGCTGCGCCTGCCTGGCAAGCACAAAGTCCTAAGTTCGATCCCCCAGTACCAAAAAAAAGTCACAGAGAAGAGAAAAAGGGCTGCCACTCATCTCTAGGATATGTGATTTTAGGCTATTATTTTTATCATTTGCTATTTCTGAAATATCTGAAATTTGCCATTAAACTAACAAGAGTTCTGTGATTCCCAGCCTTGTCCACTCTCGGTCCATGCTCCCGACAGGCTGCAGACAGTGACTTTCTGCCAAGCACCGGCACCAGCGCACACTTCACTCTGGAGAGAGAGATGTGACCCCATTTTACAGACAAATGCTTTGTGAATCCAGAGGAAAGCAGACTGCCCAAGGCAACGCTGGGAGCACAGTTCTTCCTCCCAAGAAGAAATGTCAAAAAGGCAGTCTCCGTACATCCACACAGTTCACCCACACAGCCAGGAGAGCTGTGCAACTGTCCCCACAGCTCCCTCCAGAAGCCACCACAAGGAGGCCCTTCTGAGAGGCCTCTGGGGTACACGGAAGGGCCCTCGCTGCTCTGAAAGGCTCCCCTGCTTTCTGCAAGCCCCCACCTCCCTTCAACACCAGCTCTGTCCCTTCTCACACCCACCTCGAGCCCTTGGCCCTACTGTTGCTCTCCCAGTTAGGAAACTTCTTACCATTAAGAGTTCCAGCAACAAGCATGGCGAATAAAAGACTCAGAATGCAGGGAAACACTAGGAGCTACCCAACTACCTTTCACCTAAAGCACTCAACAGTTAACACATTTTTTTTTCCTAAACTGAAGCTGTTTGTATCCTTTCTGGGATCTTTTACTAAACTCTCAACATGCGAACATGTACTTTGCTAGGATCTGGACAAATAAAATCACAACAAAATTCCTGATTACAGAACCACTTAAGCAAGGAAACCAGAAACCAACCAGAGTGGTGACACCAAGGATGAGGGCTCCGGTCGGAGCCGGACCACGGGCCAGGTGCCATGGTACTGGCTTTGTGACCAAGCTAAGGAGAACAGCACTCACACCCCTGAAGGACTTAAGTACAAAAAACAAACTCCATGGCCAAATGCAAATGGCCTTCGGATTACTGACCTACTTTGGATATGTATACCACCCCTGACCTCCCGAAATCCATACCCCCGGGGGAAACAGAGCAGAGCACTGGACCAGAATCAGAGATGAGGCTCTGTTCGGGTTCTGTCACTGAATCTCAGCGGGGATGCCGCTCTCCAAGTCCTCATCTATGAAGAGGAACCACAGCGAGCCTGCTTTCTGATCAGAAAGCTGCAGTCACTGTGTGGAAGCAATAGATGTGTCCACTGTGCTGTTCGAGTGCAAAGCCGAGGTTTCCACAGACAGAGCAAGCTGCGCACACTAAATCTACGTGGCACTGCTCAGGGGCTAAAGCAGCCTCGAAGAAGGGGGGACACCGACACCGACACCAACTGGGGAGGGGCGACAGACTCCACACCGAGCTGCCAGAGATGAGGGATGAACGCGAGTCAGACCTGCACTGCTGAATACACACAGGGTCTGAAGAGTCAGCGCACATCTGCTGGGGTTTGGCCTGACAGTGTTAGGGGCCAGACTGGGGAGGTAACTGTAAGAGGTAGCAGAGGAAGTAAAGGAAATTCCCACCACACATTGCAGAAACATGCGTACTAGAAGAAAGCAGGGCCCAAAGAAAAAGCTCCATTGAGAAGCAACTGTCAAAAAAAAGAAGAAGAAAGTAAAGAAAAGAAAAGCAGGAGATTTAGCTCAGTGGTTCCGCTGCCTGCCTCTCAACCGCAAGGTCCTGAGTTTGACCCCTGGTACCACAAAACAAAACAAAACAAAAAAATCATTGTTAAACCAGGCACACTGGGTGCACATCTATAATCCCACCATCCTGGGTGGCAGAGACAGGAGGACTCCAAGTTTCAGCCCAGCCTAGGCTATTTAGCAAATGTGTGAGACCCTGTCTCAAAATAAAAATAAAAAAGGGCTGTGGATGTAGCTCAGTGTGAAGGCCCTGGGTTCAACTGACAGTGCTGAAAAAATAAAAACAACTGTTGAAAGCAGATGATAAACCAGCACCCTGCTTCCAGGTCAGTTTGAATATCTGAAAAAACGAAAACTGGCTTGCCGCATGCCCAGGTTAGCCAGGAGCCTGGGAAAGAGACGTGTACTACCTGCCTCCAGAAAGCCAAGGCAGCGCCGTGCAAGGCCAGGACCAAACACACACTGCAGGCCTTGAGCCAGAGACTCAGCTTTCCAGCTGGAAACGGCACAGCGAGGTAAGGCCTGGGTCCAGGACAAGGCAGCACTCCCCCACTCCCACTCTAACAGCGATGATCACACACGTCTCCCACAGAGGGCAGCTACAAGAAACTACGGCCCTTTCACAAAAAGTTGAGTTTTGAGCTTCAAAACTCTGAGGACAGTGGTGGCGAACCTACGGCACTTGTGTCGCAGCGGATTGTTTGTACCCCTGAAAGCGCTGAAAGGTTCGCCATCACTGTCATCTGTATCTGTTACAGCCTCAGAGGCTGACAGCAGAAGGGAAGAAGGGAAACAGCTGGTTGCACTGGCCCTCGCCTCAATGACAGAACAGGGAAGCCAGTTCCTGCTACTGCGGCTGCTGTGGGCAGTGGGAGAGCGCTGGACCAAACAAGCTCCTCCAGGACAATGGGCAGATTTCTGGCCAGAGCAGGGCTCTCAGAACACAGGGTAGGAGTACATCCAATCGCCGAGAGAAAAGGCCCGAGGGCAGCACATGACACTGAAGTGCTGGCAGTTTCACCCAGGATTAGAACAGAGCGGTGTCTTTTGAGTTTTCAGATAATTTTAGAGATGCTGGGATATGCTTACTAGGTTGTATGCAAGGCCCAGTCTTAAAGGTGCCGTGAAAACAAAACCAAAAATAACCACCTGGAGAGAATACTCATAGCTTAAGAGACAAACTATTTTATCTAGGTGAAGGGATGATCAAACTCGTGAAACTAAGCAGCAGCAAAAGTCTTTCCTTAAGTAGCAAGGTATTGTCCTACATCAAACATTGTATTTTTCCCACTTCTTCAATCAAACCCAATAAATAAATGTACAGTGAAAGGGCCTGGATCAAAATGGCAATGGGCGCAAGACAAACCCCCGTCCGGGGTCCCTGTGTAGCCAGTGCCACCCTGGCCTGGCCTGCAAATTTCTCCCCAGAGGGCTGGCTGCAGACTCTGCATGCCTGACCCAGGGCTCCATCTGGTACTGCGCCGCACACTACAGGAGGTCAAAGCGAAGGCGCTGCCTGGCTCCTCCAGTGGACCGACGGGGGTGCTGGAGCGGGCCCAGGTGAGCTCTCCGGGGAACTGCCTGTCAGTCCGTGCGTCACGCGGGGAAGAGCTCGGGCGGGCTCTCTCCGTAGCAGTACTTGGCTATGGGGTCCCGGTAGGTGTTCTCGTGCTGCACGCTCTGTTGGCAAAAGGAAGACAGGGTGCGGTGAGAGGGCACAGCTGCACACGCCTCCCTCTTAGAAGCTCGGAGTCCATCTCGGCTGAAAGCCATAGAACGTTCTGGAACACAGGATGCTCAGCAAAGGGCAAAGAAGGGCACGAGATGGACACAACACCACCACGTAACTGTTCTTATGCCCACCGCGGAGCTTTCAAATAACCTGAGCATGACCTGGGTGGACTGAGACAACTGCTTTTTCTCAAATCACCTGAAACAGATTAAGATCCAACAGATGTTTGTACCCAACCTTGCTCTCCAAAGAAATTCAGTCTCCAGTAAGGGCCCCACAGATACACTATGGAGACACACGTCGAATGGCTTCCAGGAAGTTTATGGAACTAAAGTTCTGGTGCAGGAGCCAAACCCCACAAAACCACACAGGCCCCATTTGGCCCGGCAGAGTCCAAGTGTGATTTAGAGCAATCATCCCCAATGGCTAATTTTTCAGCAATTTGTTTTCATCCAAGCAACTTGAATTTTTGGCTGGCCCTGAGTTCATTAATTAGCCTAAGATCGGTGCTAAGCAACTAAAGTGTAAGTATTCATCCCATCTACTACACACACAGCCAAATCGTCTCCTCCCCATGACATTTATCAAACCACACTGAATGGCAACTGGGAAACCTCTACAATAAAAAACAAAAGGCAGAAAGTAGAGTAACTTCACTTAAGATTGGAAATAACCCCTGGGTTTTATCAGTTAGGGAAAACATAATTCTGCCTTTTCTAGCATCTCTCAGAATGAGAGGATACGCGGCAGTGAGCGCCATGTGCGCAGCCTTCCTCCACAGTTCAAGTCCATTCGAGTAGAAAGCTCTTCCGGCGGAACAAGCCTGTCAGGACTTCCTAATGCTCTCAAATGCTCACTACACCACTGCAACTCCCAAGGACGCTGGATGCTCGGGAGTAAAACGGGGCATAAAACCGGAAGGTGGACCACAGAAGTCTGGCGAAGGGTACAAAAGTTTCAGAGATTGACAAATGACTGTTATTTCAGACAGAGCCAGGAAAATCTTGGTGACATCGTGAATAGCAGCCGGAGGGGGTGCTTGTGGAATAAACACACCTGGTGGCTGTCCGTCCTGTCCCAGAGCTCAGCTGAGAGAGAGGCACAGGCTGGGACGCTCTCAGCGGTGGCAGCAGAACACGGGGCCAATGACAGCACATGTATGCGCAGCAAGGCCTTGAGGCGTTTGTGGATTTTAAACCCCACCTGCCCAATCTCCTTGAATCCTAAATGAAACCACAAGTCTGCCCCAGAACAAATTACTGCTTATTCTAAATGAGGGGTTGCTGGAAAGCCTTAGCCAAATTTCAGTCAAAGGCAGGACGAGATCATCTCCTAGGAGCTGGACTATTAGGACTCCACCCAGACTTGAAAACATAATGTTATGCTTCCACTTAGGCCCAGCAGACCAGAGAGCTGCAAGCTGACTGGACCCTGATGTAACATGTGTGCTTTACCTCCCCTAACGTGGGTAACTCTCGCGCTGGCGTTCTAGAGATGAGCATTACCCCAGTCACAGCATGGCACAGGCGCCCTCCAGCCTCTCTCCATCGTCACTCCACCCAGCGTGCATCTACTGCTTTCCTCCAGTGCTGATCCCACCTTCCTCCCCCAGGGAGAGATGGAAGAGCTCCTGACCTGCGAGGAGGTCCTGCATTTAGCCAGACACAACTCGAAGTGGTCTTCGACTGCCAGGAAGAGGTTCTGGAAGGCCATGGCTGCCCGGCTGAGGAAGCGCTCTAGGAGAAGTTGCTATGGAAACAAAAGTTAGTACCTGTAATAATACCAGACGTATCCAGCACAAGGTAACCTTGGATCTCTCCCCTCAAAGAAGAGAATTTTGATATGGAGGAGGGAAAGAGGGAGCCAGGGCACTTAGGCACTGTATGTCTAATCAGCAAAACAATTGGTCCATTCTGTGAAAACCATTCAAGTCACTGGGAACCAGCTCCCTTGCAGACAAAGGCTGACCGTGTGTGCACGCGCGCGCGCGCGTGCGCACGTGACTCCTATAATCAGAACCCCCTGTGGGGAGCCTGGGGAGCCAAAGCCCCTCCATAAAATCAAGGCTGGAAGAGAGAGGGGGGCGCATACCTTGCTGGGCTGCAGGCAGCAGGAGACACAGTACTCGTAGGCTCCACAGCAGCCGTTGGCCAGGCAGCCATCGCAGCAGTACTGCTTGGTGCTGGGCACGCTGACATCACAGCAGCCATTGGCCAGCAGGTCCTTCCGCTCACAGACATAGCCTGCATGTCAGAGACCAACCTCAGCATGAAACCAGTGGTCCCCACCTCCCTACCAAGGGTGCCTGGGAAGCAGCAGTGGAGACACCGGCAGCGGGGAACTCTAAGCACCAAATTCAGAGAGTAGATGTCATGAGGAGGGCTGTCATCCCCGAGCGAGTGGCACAGAAACAAGGATTCCTGTGGAACTAGGTTCTATGTCACCATCTTCCCAAAGAACTTTCAGTACGCTGTCCCCTGTTTCATCACTGGTCACCATGGCAAGCCACTCCCTTGAGTTCGTGTTCTGACCTATGCAAGCCAGCCTCTCATGTGGGCCTGAAGAACAATGTCACTTCTTTACAAATTAATCATCATTAGCTGGGCGTGGTGGCACACGCCTGTAATCCTCAGGAGACTGAGGCAGGGGGATCGCTGTGAGTTCAAGATCAACCTGGGCTACATAGTGAGTTCCAGGTCAGTCTCTACTATACAGTGAGATCCTGTCTCAAACAAACAAACAAACAAAAAAATTAATCACCATCATCATCTGAAGACAGGAAAAACAAAGGCATTCATTTACAAAAGTGAGATCTTCCTAGATCTGAGAAACATTCTTTAAAAATACATTTTAATGGTTATGCCTGTAAATCGCAGCACTCCAGAGGCTGAGGCAGGAGAGCAGCCATGTGTCTGAGGCCAGCCTGAGCTACACACTGAGACTCTGTCTCAAAACACCAAAAGCCAAACAAACACACACATACACGCGTACACACATGTATATATTAAATGCGTGTTGGCTATTTAGTAATTTGGAGGATTTTTCACATAGAAATAGTCACGTCTAACCTTCTGAAGCTGACTTAACTTTGCCAGCAACTGTCACACGGAGTAACAAGGAACATAATTCTCTAACACCCAGAGAAGAAAAAACCTCCCAATTCACTGCACTCCTCAGAGATCCCGCCATCCAGGTATACATACAAGCCAGTCAATTCATGCTTGCTTGCTTTAGAAAAAGAACATCCTCACAGAAGCTACTTTGTAATTCAGAGCTGCTAAACAGACATTTCTCTACATCCTTTTGGGAGTGGGGCAGAGAAATATAGGAGTAAGTCCACAAGGGCCATCCCCGGGCCCTTGAGAGCTCGGGGTACATGATGGGCCCCGGTGCGTGTGGAGGCCCCAGGTGCCAAGCAGCTGTTCCCACATCGCTCCACTCCAAAAGCCCCAGCTTCCCGGTCCTCAGAGAATGACATTTGGTAAAGTATAAGGTTGTTTTCAGAAATGACTCTGGAAAACAATACTGCGCAAAAGCAGGAAGCACCAAGAGAACGACCGTGATGGACGGACTGGTCTCACCTAACACCTGGGAAACAGACGCCTCAAGAGGACCAGACCCACGTTATCAGTGAACTGGTGCCTTTTGCTGTATAGTTGTTAACTATGCCATTCCACCTCCTAAATTAAGAGAGGATGATTTTAATGTCATAGTAAATGTTTCTTGATTCTTCCCAAGTGTTCCTATTCATTTTCTTTATGGGTATCATCGTTGATGACAACAAAAAACACAAAAACAAGTTGGCATGTTTCTCAAGAGTCCGTCCCAAATGATACACTGTAACTCTGTGCCAGAATTATGTCACCTCAACTCCACTTGCTGAAATTATCTGCCTGCCCTGTTCCACCATACAAATGTCAGTGTCTCAGGCAGTCTTTTCCCTCCAAGTGCCAGCTCCCAGCATTTGGCCTTGAAACTGCAGGTCTAACTTCTACGGAAATAAGTTCATTGATCACTCATTTCGCATCCCAACTCTACTCATGCAAATGTTATTTCCAACAAGGGGGTCCTGTGAGATCACAGCCTCAAAATGTGTTGCTATTGCCAGGGAAATTAACTTTTAACCTTTGAGAACTTTGTTAATTCTAATCGGTTGTCTTATTTAATAATGTGTTAGTCTGGCAACATTCACGGTGGCATCTGCTTGCTAAAAAGCGTAAGTTGTTACAAGTTTTCTTTATTAAACCACTTCAATATTCATGAAGAGAAAACCTATAGCACTTGGATTTTCACTGATGGGTTGATTCCTAGAATTTTTCACTCAAGGATTTTTTGTCTTTATCTCCCTGAATTAACCAAAAGAAAAGTATTCTAGCTATGTTAAAAGAACGTGACATTTTGCTCAGAATGCAGTGCTAAATATTAAAGCTAAGGCACACGTTTTGTTTCCTCAGTCTGTAAGAAATCGGCCCTCGCACCAAGTTGAGACCCCTTGCTGTAGTCACAGGTCTACCCATGGGCTAGCTGTGGCATCCTATTCGGCTGTAGGGTGTGAGCTGCTCCCCAAGGCAAGCAACTTTCCTCTAAATCTTCTCTTCCTTTTGAAATAATCTCATCTCTGGTCTGAGGACTTTGAGACTTTTTAGAAAAAGTGTTATTTTTGCAGGGGTGCAGTTTTTTCCTTTCCGTTGTTTGGCGGTAAGGCACTACAGCTTTCATTTTCAAGACAGCAGGTGTTTCGTTCAGGTTGGCTTCATCACAAGTGGATGGGGATCCCAGCCCAGGTTTACCTTACTGCCAATGCTGTCATGTTCATGATCCATTTGTTCTGAAACTCCTTGAAATGGGGTGAAATTTGTGCTCACAAACAAATTTTTAAAACTTATTTGCAAACTGCTAGTTGAAAATGAAAAAGAAATCTGCAGAGCAATCAGGGAACTTTGAACACCAGACATCCTCAAGGAGAAAATGTTACTCTTCTCGCTTGGCCATGGTATTTTGTGTTTGTGGGTTATAAAGAGTCCGTGGCAGTCTTGGCTAAGTTCCTTAACTTGGTGTCTATCCCTTCACCTACAAACGCAGCTGAGGACTACTGCAAAATCAAATGAGGTGTTCACAGAATGCCAGCAGCCCAGTGGCAGCACGCAGTGCAGGCTAAGCAGCAGGTGGAAAGTCTCTTCAGGACGGCGGAGCAGCCTCCACAGAGTAAGGGCTCCAGCGGGATGGAGTCTGTCTCGTATATGCAGCTATCACTTTTCTTCCTTTCAGCTTAAAAGAAGTGAGAAAGCCTTCCGCTACCAGGATCCCTGTAAGAAGAACACATCTGACCTTGCTTGTAATTTGTCTGAAAGTCTCCGGTCAGTCCATCAACAAGCGTATTTCCTGAATGTCAACACTGCGTTTTCTTCAGCAGGAAAACTTGGCTCTCATCCTACAGATTTCAGGTCAAGATAAGAAGGAAAGATTGTCTGGTTCCAAAGCTAGGACGGTGGGGACAGATCAGCAGGAGCAGCCTAGGGACTGATGAATGGTAAGGTGCTAACACTGGAGGCTGCCGGCAAGAGGAAGTGTCAAGAATCCAGGGGCCCTGACCCTGAAGGGACCTGGCCCGGCGAGTGCAGCATGAAACATAAAGCAGACTAGGGAAATTCTGGAAATAAGCACTGAGGGAAAATCCACTCTTGAGGAATCCCTATGAAAACCAGAACTCTCTGTAGCAGAGTACGATCTCCTGACCGTGGGAGGGGAAGGGCAGCCACCTTACCCAGCTCGTCGGTGATGAGGTGCTTCCCCTGAATGGAGTTTCGGCACTGGTTGCTGGGCCGGCTGCTGTTGCCCAGGTTAAACTGCACCTTCCATGGAATGGGCTGGTCATGGTCTTGAATCTGGAGGAGATTCCGATCTCTCACTGCCCTCTCCTCCTACAGAGAGACCATAAACGAGAAGGTTAAAGGTCCTTTTCTTGAAACCGCACCAATTTTTCATAGAAACTATGGAAACAGGACAGAAACACTAAAACCTTGCACTACAGGAATCTGCATTCTCCCAGTATCACCAAAAGTCTGAGAAAGTCATGAAACAAACCAGCATGAAAAAGCAGTAAGTTAGGGTTATGCTTCAAAACTGGCATATTTACATGCATGGCCCAGGATGACAGGCACATTACAAATATGGAGGGAAAAAGTTTTCTTTTTTTTTTTTTTTCTGTCTGCAACTAAAAATTGTTATCAACAGGAAGTCCCTAGAGCTATACTCCGTGAGCTTCCAGGATTTGGAAAAGGCTTTTTTCTTATGGCCAGTCGTTTAAAAAAATTTTTTTAATGTTAAAATAAATACTCTGCCAAACAGAATGCAAAACTTGAATATTTTTTAAATAGATGAGGAAGTATTTTTTTGTGACTGTCATCTCAGACTGTAGTCACGCACATCCAGAATACGAGACACCTTTCATTCGTAGCTGCAGACACTCTGCTATATACGCATACGGGAAACCAGAATTTAGGGCTGACTTTAAGGGTCACCTCACAAGTATGCCAGCCTTACGGCACCTTTCTCCACAGAGCCACCCGCTGCCCAAATGGGCACAGAGGGAAGAGCTGCCCCGGGACATGTGTTTAGACCCTTTCTCTTCACCTTCAAGCCAAGTCCTGAAATAACAGAGCTTTCAAAGCCACTTTTTTTTTTTTTTATACTACTAATGAAACTAAGGAGGAAGGTGCCGCAGTGCCAGAAAACAAGCCAAGCATGAGACAGCCATCTTCTGGATGCTTCAATTCATTATTGGAAAACAAAACAATTATAAAAGACTCTCCCGGAGGCTTTCATGGACATTAAACATTCACCATTCTAATAGAGTTCTGTGGCTTTTGCCATTAAGAATGATCTGTCATGTGTCGCTTTTTAAGCAAAGGGGAACGACTTTGAAAATTTAATGGCAAAGCTTATTTACTTTTAAAAAATGGAAAAGATCTTTGTACTTACTAAGGTTTCTTTAGGAAAATAATCTGGGGACAGCTATTAACATTTAAAATGCACACGCCCATGTACTGTTTGGCAAACCCTTTCTGAGGACCGTCCATTACAAAACACAGATGTGTAGGGATGGCGCGGACTGCAGCACTGTTTCAACAGTGGAGAAACCCAGAAGGCCAACAGAAAACGACTGAATAAATACTGGTACAGACCTGCAGTAAAATCAAAGCTACACGGGAGCGATAGCTATCTAGGTGGTTCTCAAATTTAACTTGCACACAGCTTATAAGACAAATTCTGGGTAAGTAAGACTTAGAATCCATCCCTGAGCCTACTGTCAGACAAGGAGGAAAGTCTGGGTTGGGGAGACCAAGAACTCTCAGTATTTCTTTCTTTTTCTTTCTTTCTTTTTTTTTTTTTTTTTTTTTTTTTTTTTTTTTTTGGTACCAGGGATTGAACTTGGGTCCTTTCACTTGCAAGGCAGGCTACCGAACCGCTGCGCTAAATCCCTGGCCCAAGGACTCAGTATTTCTAAGGCACCCAGATGACTTCAATAGGTAGACGCGGTTGCAAACAGCTGGATATCTACAACATATTAAGTAAGAAAGCAAGGTGCAAAATAATGCGCACATGACCACACGGGATATTATGATGGTAATTTAACAGGGGATGGGAGAGCAGTACCCTGGCAAAGGTGCAGAAAGATACAGTACAGTTATTACTGTGGAAGGGTCATGAGTCACTACTAAAATTTTATCATCTTTGGAATATTTTCAATCTAAAATACAATTTAAAACATACTTATGAACAGTAGGAGAAACTCAGATTCCACAAGAACTACATTATCTTTGCAACTTTTCTGTAAAGACGTAATTATTCCATAATAAAAGGTTTGGTTTTTCTTTTTTACAACAAACCAAAACCTTGATTGCCAACATCAAAGCCAGAGGCAGCTCACAATCCCATCACTTCAATAAAACCGTGTTTTTTTTTAGTTACTAGCTCCTGACCTCTGACCCTGGTTCATACTACAAATTAGGATGTTTTGCATTCGGTTCTTCTTGACACTAATTGGATAGTAAAACATTTTCAAGTACTACATTATCTTGATAATCACATTTTCAAGACTATATAATAATCTATCATGTTGATGTGCCATAATTCAGTGAACACACACTCCATACATCAACATTAGGCTCAGGCTTTTGTTGTCATAGATAGCACTGCAGTAAAATATAGGGGTTTAAAAGGCAGGAGTGGTAGCACACGCCTGTAACCCCAGCACTAGGGAGGCTGAGGCAGGAGGATCACTATGAGTTCGAGACCAGCCTGGGCTACATAGTGAGGTCTCAACTACATAGTGAGACCCTATCTCAAAAAAATAAAGAAAAAAATGTAAAATTAAAAATGCTCTTGAATAATTTGCTGTGGTAAATTCTATATAGTGCCAAATAACTTCCCCAAAGTTTTAGCTACCATCTGTAATGCTACCCACATTTAAACTGCAGTGCTCCCAACTTTATCACAACCCCACCAGGCCTGGATTTTGTTCTTTAGAGTATGTACGAAGTAGTCATTCGAGGTGGTTTTAATTTCTATTCTGCCCCTCCCTTCTGCTTCTTTTAAAATAAAGAAAAAGCACGGGCAGGCACAGGATAGTTACACAAAAACAACACCTGTATTCCTCGGTTACTGCATGAGGAGCTAAGTGCAGGAGCCTTGGGAGCTGGGACAAATCACTTAGGTGCACACTGCTTAAGGACCTGAAAATTCACACCCAGCTGCCCTCCTGGGACCACATCAGTGAGCTGCATAACCACACTATGTTTGAGCTGAGCTGAGCTGCAAATGCAACCCTGGATAAATTAATAGCCATAAAGACTGTTAAGAGGCTGGTCCAAGTACAGAAAACCGGCTTTTACAACAAGGTTAAAGTGCCCTCAACATTACTCCCAAGCTATCCTGTAATTCTTCCTGAAAGAAAACAAGAGTTCATGGACAAGCGCACCTCAACTGGACCTCTGCCACGTAACTACACTCCCAGTAAACAGGAAAGTGGCTCTCGTAGCACTTGAACTTGTTTTCAAACATGAATATTCAAGCCCTTGCCAAGAGGACTGTAAGGCAGAAATGACATCATGCGATGCCCTGGCTCCAGTCCCTTTTCTGCAGGCCCAGTCTGTGGCTGTGAGGAAGGCAGCTGGGACACTGCGCCACGGGCAGGAAGTTTAAACTTTCCCCAACTCTTCCCTGCCCTACGAAGTCCTCTCAGTGCTAAGCTTTTCCCATGTACGTGTATACTGTTTTCATTCAAGATTTACTCATAGGTAGGAATTTTCACAAAGTGCCAAGGATGCAGAGACAAATGCAGTCAGGTTATCTGTTCTCTGGGAGTCTCCAGGAGATGCCGGTGAGACGGTGTGCACCAAATCAAGGCAATCACTGGCTGCAGATGTTACAACAATGGCCACACAAGTACGCTGAGGTCTAAAGAAAAGCATGAGAATGAAAAGGAGCAAAAATATTCCCTACTTTCTTCCTAACTGGAAGGAGATATCGAAATGTCTTTATTGTCACTGCATGTTATTCTGCTTTAGATTTTCAAAAGGTTTATTAATAACCACTCTGTGGTTTTAAGAGATTATCTGAAGGGTCAAATGAGATAAATGTCCCAGGTAAATAATGAAGCTTAAACATGTACTGCTGCCCTAAAAGATATGCCTCTGAAGACTGGGGATGTAGCTCAAGGGACAGCAGTTGTTTAATATGCTCAAGAAAGAAAAACTTGCTCACGAATCTCAAAAAGAGGAGGGGACAGCCAGGGATTTAGCTCAGTGGTTCCAGCTCCTGCCTTCCAAGTGCAAGCACCTGAGTTCAATCCCTGATACCAAAAAAAAAAAAGAAGAGAGGATAAAGGCCAGAGGGCACCCAAGTGCCTAATACTTGAGAAATGCAGCCTGGTAAAGGGGAAAAGAACATTAGGAGCTTTTAAAGATGGTGAAAATGCTTAAGTGTTCTTAATTATATGAAGAAAAAAAGCGTGAAAGATGACAAGAGAGTACGCCCACACAGACAGAGGCCCTGTGTGACTGGTGAGAGTGTGGGGATGGTGTCCTTTCACCAGTGTCCAAGGGCACGTTACAAACCGGAAGACACACAGATCTCTGGAAAGGCTGAAAACCCCAAACCAAAAGGCCAGATTCACAGCTCTCACGATTTATTTAACTTCATTTCAGATAACATCTAAGTGGGCACTAATTTACATACTTACTTACAGCCAAGGATGTTAACATATTTTCAGAGTTGTGCAAATAGCCCTGGGACTTGTCAGAGCCACAGGACCTTGAAGACCCTGTCCCCTCCAGCCCTGGACTCCCTCACTCAGGCCAAGGGCCTCAGCCAGCCCACCCTGCCCCTCTGTCCTGGCATTCTGTGAGGTTTTACATGGTAAATCAGTATCCAAAACCAGCGCTGACCATCTCTCCTCCTCACCCCAGGAGACTACAGCACGCAGAGGACACAGGCTTCGCTGACAGCGCCTCCCTCACACACTGAGGTGAGCTGCACACTCGTGAAGGAGGTGCTTCCAAGTCATCCAGTATATTCGCCACCCGGCTCCCTCCCCTGATGGCGCCCCCTTGCCAACTTCTCCCATCTCTAATGATGGAAACTATCCCCCAAGGCATTAATTAACATGGAATCCAAAGAAAAGAGGAGTCCAGAGTAGCAGAGGCTAATTGACTCTCTCTAGGCAAAACTGGCATCTGCTCCCTAAGTTGCCTCTCACCCAAGCAGAGCTGAGGACCACAGGGTGCTCTCAGGACGGCGGCGGGGCCACTTGGCAAAGAACACAAACACCTCCCCTCCGCCCTGCCCCGCACCCTCCCTCCCACCATCCTCACTCTGCAGATGAGGGGCTTAAGGCCAGGCCGGAGGAGGCCCACTCATG